TTTAATGTCCATAAATCATTATTATCCCTTTGGCATTTTGTTTTATTTTCAGCTTAATTGCCTATTGATGTCAAAGCGGATTTTTCCGATTTCTTATTTAAGTCTCTTAGTTGTCAGTATAGGGAAGGAGAGAGAAGAAAAATAAAAGCCAAACCTTTCCCTTTTCACTTTCCTTCGCTGCTTCCGACTCTTCTTTGGGAGCGATGTTATTTTTTTGTAAGTTTAAATTCCACGGTACCTTGGTTGTTGCTTTTACAATTTAACCTGGTCAGCCAAAACTTTCACTTCTTATCTTCCTCCTGAACATTCTTTTCCGGTCGAGTTCTTCTTTGTGGTGGCCATTTCTGACCACCGGCTGCAACCGCCTTCAGGAAAGGGAGTAATGGCCAGCTGAAGAGGAGAGATGCGGCTCTCCTCGACCCTGCTGGCAGTCTCCCCCCGCTTCACCACCTCTATGGGGTGGCTTAGCCCCGAAACCAGCTGCCTCGGGATGCTCCAGTGGCGAGCCCAGACAGAAACTGCGCATGATCGTGGATTTCTGTCTGTTGCCGAAGCCCTTCAAACCGGAAGTCCATTTCCCCCTATTTTTGACTGATTAAGTAATCCATGTGGAGTCATTGATACTTTAAAGAGCTTAGTAGTTTTCTTGCAGACTTGTTCACACTGATGATTTACCTAGTGAAACCTTATGAAACACCTGCAAGAAAACCACCAAGCTCAGAGAAAACCAAGAACCCCACAATCTAACCCCGAGCTACAACTATTCTCTTTGTTCACTAAATAATCCATCTTAAAAAGATAGGTTCAATAATAAAATATTAAGTATTAAAAGTTTTCAAGGAAAGTGCTTCTTTGGGAACAAATGCAATCACAGCATCAAAGAAGAGGAAAGACTATACTGTTGATAAGACTAATGCCTAGGAAAGGAAAAAATAGCTTTTCTGCAAACAAGTTTTAATAGATGGACTGAAAACACTTAATGGGCACAACAATAGAGAAGATTCAGATAATTAGCTGTTTCATATGATAAATGGGATCAAATAGCTGAAGACACAAATACAGGGATTTCTTTTGATGGATTATTACATCTAGGAACATCAATCCTTGCTGTTTTATTCAGCTAGCATTATGCTGCATTAGCAAATATGGCATGCTGTTTATTCTGTTAGTCTTCTACAGAGATTATATGTTCCCTGGAGTTAAGGGCTTTGAAATCTAGTCAATTTGAATTTATTTTAATAATCAAAAGGCAGACTGTGCAATGCAAAAGGAGAAATAACATGCCTAATAGCCTGTGGTGAACCAAAATATTTTTTTTTCTCCAGTCTTCCCCTAAAATTGTGTACTCAAAAATGTTTTACTTTCAAATTATAACATGCTTTGAAGAAACAATCCTTTCCAGAAGTGTTAATTTACAGCCATAATCTTTCCAATATCCCCCAAGCATGTTGTAGACGAACCTTTCAGGAAGGGATCAAGTTGAGGAAAATTGGCATGGTTTTCAATTGGGAGAAAAAGCAAAGACTTTCAGGCAGAGCTTGACTAATTCCTGATTAAAACAAAAAGCTGGTCTATAGAGTTTTATCTGATTCATCAAGACAACTCTTATGTTCTTAGTTTAGAAGGAAAAACACTTAATAGATGAAAATATTTGCTTAGGTGCCAGATGCTATGTGTGACACTAATAAGTAAATATAAGTAAATCCTACATCAGCAGTTCCCTTTCTTAAAAACACATTCTCACACATATAATTAGAACTGAAAAATTGGCTGGGTTGGAACTGTTTTTTTCCCCCCAGATTTAATTGCCAAACTGAAAAAATCAGCAAGCTGGTTGGGCAGGCCTTTCATAGTATCCAGTATGGGTGGTTCCTATTCACAGCTTTCACTGTTCATTAGAAAGAACCGAAACACTTTTGACAGAAGTCCTTTGAACAATGTGTAAGTGTCATTAATTTCTTCGCAAGCTTTAAACCCGAGTACTGTTTTGTTCAACTCATTTATGTAGGTATATATAACTTTCAAATATGTTTTTGTCTTCCTCCCCCAAAAGTAACCAAAGAAGAATAAAATTATTGCGGCTATGCAGAACATGGAATTTGAAGAACAAAATATGAAATGAGATGCACATGGAACACCTTACAGCTGATGTCTTTTCCTAGGCTCTTGTGTTTGTTCTTCACAACTGCTGTAACATCTCAGAAGAAGATAGTGTTGGGCTTTTTAATTGTACAAAGTATGTGAATCCTACTGTCTATAGCAAGCTCAATACAAAAAGGGCAAATCAAAATGTTTACGACATCCAAATCAAAGGTCAAAATCCATCATTTTCTGTCCTTGAGGCAAACCCATCCAACTGAATAGACTTACAGTAGTTGAAGAGTTGAACTATATCTAATCAAGAGTTGGACTAAGAGTTGAAATTATTGACCAGAGTTAAGCTTAGAATGTAATCAACCATCCTAATCACTTGGTCATCTCATCATTTAACTTCCCCTTTTTCCCATTCTCTCTCCTTGACTGCTTCCATACTTAGTCTTACCAACTTTTCTGTCCCCATTCTGGGGAAGCAAAATGAAGCTTTGCTTAACATTATCAAACAAGTATCATAAAATCAGTGAAGGAAGTACAAATTCCTGGACATCTTCATACATTAATTCCATAACACAAAACTCTAACAAAGGTGTAGAATGAACAGGAAAACTATGTCAAGGCAAGCCACACTTGCTTGGAAACAAAATTCCTTCCTCTTGTGGAAGAGTCAGTGCTGACATTATAAGGGCATTGTACGTGTCTCAAACCATTGCTTATTGGCATTCTCCACTTCACATGTGGATGATAGCAACAAGTTCAACCCCCAATTCAGTACAGAATCCATTATAGCCTGTACAACAGATGACCAAACAATCTAATCAAAAATTTCCAGATAAGAAAAACTAGTATAACTAGTATAGTCTATTCCACTAACCCAGAGTGTGTAAGTCGAGTGTTCTGTAGTCTGAATATACTTCCTTATATCATTGTTTCTGGTTCGGCCCACCGGGCCAATAGAAAATAAATCCCATACTGTCTTCCAAATGACAGCCCTTCACATGCTGAAAACTATTACCATATCTTTCTTTGGTTATCTCTTCTATATGTTAAACATATCTATAAACTTTTTTATATAGTTTAGTTTTCAGATCAAACACCATTGTGACACTCCTCTTCTAAATTTGCTCCAATTTATAATTGCCTTTTTTATTTTTATTTATATCCCACCTTTATTGTTTTTCCAAACACAAGGAAGTGAACATATCAAAAACACCTCCTCCTTGTTTTTTCCCCACAACAACATCCTTGTGAGGTGAGATGGGCTGACCGAGAGGGACAGGCCCAAGGTGACTAAGAAGAGACTTGAATTCACAGTCTCTTGCATTCTAGCCTGGTGCCCTAACCACTAGACCAAACTGATTTGTAATCAGAACAGGACACAGTATTCCAAGTAGGAACTAATCAAGGAAGAGTAGAGTTGGGGCAGTTACTTCCCACGATATGAACATTAGGTCCTGCAAATGTACCTTAAAGTGTCATTTGCCTTTGTGTCATCTATTTCACCCTAATGGTACACATCGAATTTGTGATCAACAAGAATCAGATTCTTTTCACATAAATTGCCATGAAGTCTCCCCATCATTGCTTTTGCCCACCCAGATGCAGAAGTTAATGTTTTCTCAACCAAGTTCCATCTTATTTATTTCAACACACTCAATATTGTCTAGGTTTTTTGTTTTTAATTCCTTCTCTCCTTTTTAAGAATTAACCATCCTACCTTTTAGGTCTCCTAAGCACTGATTTAACTTTGTCATCCAAGTCACTGATAAAAATGTAACAAGGCACAAGATCGAGCTCTGTGGAATCTCACAACTACAATCATTCTAAGAGTGTGCTCATGGAGCTAACTGCAAATCTTTCAACAATAGTGTCATCTAGCTCTTATTTTACTATTTTATGAAAAGAGACAGATTTAAAAGTCTTGGTATATTATGTCTGCAGCAATCATCTATTACACTAACGACTTTCTCAAAGGAGGAAATACATTTAGTTCCAATGACATCAAAAACAGTGTGTATACTGGTTGGGTTCACAGAATACAGTGAACCAAATACAATGATTTTTTTAGCCTACTATAAGGTGTGAACCCAGCCACAATCTTGAAACAGGTATTTTTTTTACATTCCTGATCCTCGCCCTCAATGCTGGAGTTGATGAATGACTTAGCTAAATACTTGCTCATCACTTGCTGACTCAAAGTAGAGTTGATCTTTCCCATACCTACTGTACTTCTAAACTTGCATATAATGCATATAACTTGCATATAACTATGCATCAAACTTTGCTATGTAACTTTCATAATCTCCAATCAACTCACCAACCCAGCAGTTCTGGGTTTGTGTGATGTATGCTGCAGCTCAGCCAACCCGGCTAATTTAATGTAATAAGATTCAGCTTAAAATGTATTGCCAGTGGTAAATTTAAGAAATTAAAACTGAAAGAGGTTGGCTACGATTCCCCTCCCCCTTCCAGCCTGATATTGACTAAGCCACAGGCAAAGAGAGGCTTTTCAAAGGTAAGCGACTTTTGCCCCGTCCTTTTCTTCTCTTTATTTTTGCTGCAGCGCGCAGAATGGGAATGGAATTAACCCTCGCGCTACAAAGAAGCAGGAACAGGAAGGGCAATGAAAAGCAATCGGAGGGGCCAATGGGCGAAGCAAGATCCCTAAAATTGGTCTTCTTCTTCCCAAGCGACCGATCGCTAGCCCAGTCCAGCGAGCCCACTCGAACGGAACAGCCCCTGGGACTTGCTGAGTTTGCGGGACGTTAAAGGTAAGCCTCGAGCCCTACCCACCCGCCGCTCTTTTCGGAAGGTTGCGGCTTCACCTGACTTCAACAGGTGAGATTCCCTCCTCTGTCCTGAGCGCTCCCGGGCAGGTTCTCCCTCCTCCCTCTCCCGCCACTCACCATGGCTGCCGCAGACCCGCTTTCCCGGAGGTTCGTCCCCCCCCCCCCCCCGGCCACCTCCCCCCCCCCCCCCCCCCTTCCCCCCCTGCCCCATACTGAAAGTTTTTGGCCCCCCCCCCCCCCCCGCCCGGCCTCCTTTGTAACTCGGGCAACCGCCCCACGGGCACTTTGGGGGCACCCGGGAGAGGGCGCTCCCGCGTTCTCCCGAGTCGCTGAATGGAAATTTTACGAGCGGCACCTCCCTACCGCCGTTCGCAAGCCAGGTTTCCCCGAGAGAAAGCGCTCTCTCCCGCGTGCCCCCCAAAGTGCCCGTGGGGCGATTTTCACGTTCTCCCTCAGGGCGCTGGGCAGCGGGACATAAATGGTAAGGACGTCCGAGTCTCGACTGAGCACCAGGGCGTGGATAAGCGGAAGAGAGAAATGCAAGTGCAGGTACCTTGCCGATGAATGACCTGCTCCAGACATTGGGAATATGGCCTTTCCTGATAACTAATGTACACCTGTTTTAACTTTAAGACTGATACCTGAGTTTCTTGTTGGTAATTCTAGCCTACACCGAGTTCCAGCTTCATACAAGAGCTGGGTGAATTCCTGGCGGTAATGGGGATCAACGGTTTGTATGGCTTCGTTAATGTTTCTGAAGGTTATCTGCTGGACGAGTGGGCTTCCTTGTGCTGTTGGCTGGCCATATCAAAGCAGACTTTAGGTGGGACAAGGGCCCAATCCAGCATCATAGGTTATCGTCAAAAAAGTTAGGTTGGCAAATTCCAGAGATGGGAACTTTTTCTTTTCTTTTAAAGAGGAAACGAATATTTCTGCAAACAGCTTCATCGGAAAAAAAATAATGTACATAACTGGGAAATTTCTAAATGCAATCCTACAAATATTTGGATTATTTCAAAACTCCAGATTTTGCCAATAAAGAACTATAATATATTATGGACATTTAATATTGCTTTATATCAGAAATTTAATTATTAAATTATAGGAGTAAGGAATCTAGTAACCTGGGATTACAATTCCTGTAGTCCCTTGATTACTACCTATACTGGTTGAAGTGACAGAAACTGAAGTATATTTGTACTTTAAGTTCATTTTGTGAGGATAAACATCCTAAGTGAGTGACTATATTATATAGTTGCCATTGGGTTTCCAGTTACAGTGGTATTCCAAAAACATATTAGCAAATGCAAGAAGATCAGTTATGACTCTATGTAGCATGAACCATCAGTGGTTTGCCAGTTCAGTTTGTGTGGTCCTAGCACAAACCATCTGATAAATGCAAAATAACAACTATATTTTATTTGGGCTTATGCCATGTGGCCAAGCCTGTAAAGTAAAAGGTTTTGGTTTAAATTTAATGGTATGCTTGTAAAGCCATGCCACAAACTTGTCACAAATCCAGATATTCTAGTTAAACTGGATTTCCTTCTTGAAAGTGTTCTTTTTCATTCCTTTCATTTTAAAAATACCTGAAATTGTACTGCATCACTTAGCAACCTTTTGGCTGGTGGGGAATACTTGAAACTTTGAGAGATTAAATGAAACATCTGCTACTTAATACAAAGCATACAAGCTTGTCAGATTATTCCATTTCACAGAATGTGCACAACAATCTTAGCTTATCTCCGCACCCTTTCCACATACTTTTCAGTTAGTTGCACCCATTTTCAGACAAAGCATGGAATTTCAACCAACCACCAGCTTTATTTTTATTTAAGAATAACCCTGTGATAACCCTGGACCCAAATTCATTCTGAAAATAAAAAGGAGCTGCTGCTTTGTGGCAGGCATATTTTGTCTCTACTTACTTAGACTCCTAATCAACTAGTTGAAAGGGGGCAGGGGTCATTCATGCCATAAATTCCAATGACTCCTTACACGCCATGTATTAATCTAAAAGGAAGTATCTATTAGGGAACTGCATCTAATGGGGAAAATGCTTTGCTTCTGTCCTGAAACAAAATCATGGCTGGAGATTCTGGCGCTTTTAGTCTGTTTGGTTGCTTTGAGTTTGGCAGAACTCAAACCTGGAATGATTTGCTGATGTGGGTTTGCAATGGAAAAAAAATCTTGCCATAGATTAGTTTGGAGTCCTCTCAACATCTCCCAGTGCAGCATCTCATTACTCCTCACCCCAAATCACCCCAATGTCTTTCTTGTTCTCAGCTGTCATCTCTATCCATGCCCCAGCAGGACAACTCTCATGAATCCACCCCTATATTCCAAATGCCTTCTCTTTCCTCCCTGTCCTTGGCCACTATCAAGGGCCCCACTATACCTTACCCTACGAACAGCTGCCCTGATCTACCCTTCCCCTCAGAAATGTATATATTCTTGATGTTTTCCCCTTCCTCCTCCTCAAACCCTTTTTGTCTGGAACAAAATAGTCCCATTTAATTCCTACCAATCGATCATTCGTTATTTGGGATTGCAGGATACCGTCTCCAGCTCCGTTCTGAGAGGGAGGAAGAGGGAGAGAAAGGGAACCGGCACAGCCTCTTGGAGCAGGATGCCTTGCAGGGTCCCAAGGTTTCATTTCTGGCGATGTTTGGGGAGAGAAAAAGACTTTTGCTGCTTTCCTTGCATGCAGCCAAAAGCAGAATGGAAAGAAGCAATCCAGTGGCCAGGCAAAGCGTGTGGGGCAAATTCCCTCCCTCTGTGCTTCCCCCACTTCCCTCACTACATGTTGTTCGCAATGCAAGCAACGCAAGCTTTGTGTTCCCACGGCCATGTTGGTGGCGTGGCCTTTTGTTCCTGCGCAGCCTGGCTTAATTGCTTTGGGGTGACATTTCTCTGTGGACCACCAAAGTTTTCTCGCGGACCATCAGTGGTCCCTGGCCCACTGGTTGGCGACCACTGCTCTAGCTGTCTTGTGTCCCTGATTGGCAATCTTATAAATCTAATTAATGTTTATTATAATGGTTGTATGCTTCTAGACTTGCCAGGTTTCAATTTGCATGTCTCCCATGCTTTCCTTTAGGGCTGCAATTTACTATGTCCGCTATAGATTTTTGTTTCCTCATCAGCTCTTTTTCACTGTTATATGGAACCTCCAGGATGGCTATGCTTGCTAATCCTATTGCCCTGCATGGAAGCATCCCAGATGTCAGCTAATGGTTTCAAGGGCCTGATTTCCTACCATTGCTTAATCATACAACTTTCAGGTGTCATCCAAATTCCAAAGTAACATAAGTTCCTTAAATTAGGATTTTTTTTAACAATTTCTGAATTTCTTTAGTTATTTTTTTCCTTACTCATTTGCTACAATACTTGATGCACATACTGTACAAAAATGAAAAGTCCACAGGTCATAAATAAAGAAGCAACATTTACAGGAAATATTTTTATTATACAATAGTCAAACCTTTTTCTTCTTTCATTTTTTAAGACAAAAAAGAGAACAACAAACAGTAATAACAGTTTTTCAGATAATGAAAGATACAATGTTTCACAAGAATACGATCATCAGACAAAAATACATTAGTCCTTCTGGTTCTCCCATGAAGAAAGGCTTCAGGGGGAAAAAAACATAGTAAATAAGTCAAATCCGAATGATTGCACATTTAGAGTACAGGGCCAATTTTGTTACCATGTACAACATGATCCTTATTCTCTTCCCAAGCACAAAAACATTTCATTTCCAAAGCAAGCAATAAGAGTTTTTACAGGTCTGTGTCTTATCAGAAAAACATCAACATCGGATATAGAAACATTAGTGTTTTGCCAACATTTCTTTGTGTATCTGTTTAAACTCTCTTCAATATTAATAATATTTGCTATCTACCTTATCCCCAACCAGCAAAATATTCTTCAGTCCATGGCAAAAAAAATGATAGATAATTTTGAGTGGATCTGCCAAATCTTTCAATGTATTTTTGTGCAATCTGTACAATTAATAAGTGAAAACAGTAGGTGGCCTTCTCTATATGTAGAAATATTGAGACATGAGAATATTGTTCTCTGGCACCAGTAGGTTATCCAAAGTTTAAGAGATATTAAGAGGGTTGGGGAGGAAAACTACAAATGCTTTTGTGCAACCCAGATATACATTTCATTGTAAGCAGGACACTGAGGTTAAGTTATTAATTCTGGTTTAATTCAAACAAGTTAAAGTTCTCAGTAAGGCAAGTAAGTAGAATAATGAAACCATTTTATCAAAACCACCTTTTTATGATTTAATTTATTTGTATAGTAATATTGCTGAAATGTTTGGTTCTTCCTTTCATTTTTAATCTCTGTTCCTCCATCAAAATTAGCATCAAGTAAGAAATTTATGAGCAATAATTCAATAACAATAACATTGATTATATTCATCTTATATGACTTTCCAACACTCATCCCTCAGGATATATAATTCCCTTCTTCATACATATTGCCCTAAATCCTTTTTTTTAAAAAAGATTCTTTGAGGCTTACATTTTAACTTGATGATATAGCTTCATGATTAACCTAAACAACTTTCCTTGAGAAAGATGGGAAAGCATATTTTTTCACTTACTTTTAAATATCCCCTAAAAGAAGTGACTGATTACACTATTTGCATACAAAAAATTGTTTTAATTGGAGGGCAGATTGAACAGTCTACCTGTGTAACACTTTGAAATGAATGTTTCCCATCAATTTTAATTAGCAATTATTTAATTTCATTGTTGATGATTCTATACCATATTTTATAAAGCTACATTTAGTCATACAATTTAACCTTCAACATGAAAAGAACAGCAACCTGAAATTTCTCTTTAAAATTCTGTACTATAACAAGGTATTTTCATTTTCAAAAGTAATGACAAATTTTAATGTACACACTTCCCCCCATTATTTTAATTTATTTATCTATCTATTAAATTTACCTATTCCTATCATTTTTACTTGCAGCAGTTAATATGCAAGTTTTCTGGTACAATGCTAGTTATTGCTGAAATTGAATTAAAAATCTGATTTGGAACTGGCTTTAGAGAAACTTGATACCTGTACATCACAAATTGGGTTTCTGTTCAACAAACCTTTACTGTCTAGTTCACCAAGTCTCAACTATACCATTTT